TACAAGTATAAAAAGTAAAATCATTCCATTATACAAGGTAACCCCCCCCCCCTATTTTTTTTAACCTAACTTCAGATTTCCAAACATAAACGATTCTGGAGTCTTTCTAAATAGATACCCCAATGTCTTCTCTAATGTCTCCTCTACGTTACTTATACAGTCGTTGCCCGTCACAATCTCTATAAATTGGTCTTCAATGATCTTAAGGTACGCCATCCCTCGTTTTTACAATTTCAGTTTTTTAACCGTTACTTCAGATTTTGAACATAAACCACTCTTGAGATTTTCCTAAACGATGCGCCAATGTCTCCTCTACAACACCTATATAGTCGTTGTCCGTCACAATCTCTTTGAAATGGTCCAAAATTTCCTTTTAGTGCCCTACCCCCCTAATCTCATTTTGTCAATTTCACAATAAATTTTCAGTTTTTTAACCGTAACTTCAGATTTTCGAACATATACCACTCTGGAGATTTTCTTAAACGATGCGCCAATGTCTCCTCTACAACACCTATATAGTCGTTGCCCGTCACAATTTCTTTGAAGTGGTCCAAAATTTCCTTTTAGTGCCCTACCCCCTTAATCTCTTAATAAAATTTTCAGTTTTTTAACCGTAACTTCAGATTTTCGAACATAAACCACTCAGGAGATTTTCTTAAACGATGCGCCAATGTCTCCTCTACAACACTTATATAGTCGTTGCCCGTCACAATCTCTTTAAAATGGTCCAAATTTTTCTTTTAGTGCCCTACCCCCTTAATCTCATTTTGTCAATTTCACAATAAAATTTTCAGTTTTTTAACCGTAACTTCAGATTTTCGAACATAAACCACTCTGGAGATTTTTTTAAACGATGCGCCATTGTTTCTTCTACAACACCTTTATAGTCGTTGCCCGTCACAATCTCTTGAAATTGGTCCAGAATAAACTTAAATTGCCCTACCCCCCTAATCTCATTTTGTCAATTTACAATAAAAGTTTCAGTTTTTTAATCGTAACTTCAGATTTTCGAACATAAACCACTCTGGAGATTTTCTTAAACGATGCGCCATTGTTTCCTCTACAATACCTATATAATCGTTGCCCGTCACAATCTCTTGAAATTGGTCCAAAATTAATTTAAATTGGACTACCCCATAATCTCATTTTGTCAATTTCACAATAAAAGTTTCAGTTTTTTAATCGTAACTTCAGACTTTCGAACATAAACCACTCTGGAGATTTTCTTAAACGATGCGCCAATGTCTCCTCTACAACACCTATATAGTCGTTCTCCGTCACAATCTCTTTAAAATGGTCCATTTTTTTCTTTTAGTGCCCTACCCCCTAAATCTCATTTTGTCAACTTCACAATAAAATTTCCAGTTTTATAACCGTAACTTCAGATTTTCGAACATAAACCACTCTGGATATTTTCTTAAACAATGCGCCATTGTCTCCTCTACAACACCCATATAGTCATTGCCCGTCACAATCTCTTGAAATAGGTAAAAAAATAACTTAAATTGGCCTACCCCCTAATCTCATTTTGCCAATTTCACAATTTCAGTTTTTTAACCGTAACTTCAGATTTTCGAACATAAACCACTCTGGAGATTTTCTTAAACGATGCGCCATTGTCTCCTCTATAACACCTATATAGTCGTTACCCGTCACAATCTCTTAAAATTGGTCCAAAATTAACTTAAATTGCCCTACCCCCCTAATCTCATTTTGTCAATTTCACAATAAAAGTTTCAGTTTTTTAATCGTAACTTCAGATTTTCGAACATAAACCACTCTGGAGATTTTCTTAAACGATGCGCCATTGTCTCCTCTACAACACCTATGTAGTCGTTGCCCGTCCCAATCGCTTGAAATTGGTCCAAAATTAATTTAAATTGGCCTACCCCACTTATCTCAATTTGTCAATTTCACAATTTCAGTTTTTTAACCGTAACTTCAGATTTTCGAACATAAATCACTCTAGATATTTTCTTAAACGATGCGCCATTGTTTCCTCTACAACACCTATATAGTCGTTGCCCGTCACAATCTCTTAAAATTGGTCCAAAATTAACTTAAATTGCCCTACCCCCCTAATCTCATTTTGTCAATTTCAAAATAAAAGTTTCAGTTTTTTAATCGTAACTTCAGATTTTCGAACATAAACCACTCTGGAGATTTTCTTAAACGATGCGCCAGTGTTTCCTCTACAACACCTATATAGTCGTTGCCCGTCACAATCTCTTGAAATTGGTCAAAAAATAATTTAAATTGGCCTACCCCCCTTATCTCATTTTGTCAATTTCACAATTTTAGTTTTTTAACCGTAACTTCAGATTTTCGAACATAAATCACTCTGGAGATTCTCTTAAACGATGCGCCAATGTCTCCTCTACAACACCTATATAGTCGTTCTCCGTCACAGTCTCTTTAAAATGGTACAATTTTTTCTTTTAGTGCCCTACCCCCTTAATCTCATTTTGTCAATTTCACAATAAAATTTTCAGTTTTTTAACCGTAACTTCAGATTTTCGAACATAAACCACTCTGGAGATTTTTTTAAACGATGCGCCATTGTTTCTTCTACAACACCTTTATAGTCGTTGCCCGTCACAATCTCTTGAAATTGGTCCAGAATAAACTTAAATTGCCCTACCCCCCTAATCTCATTTTGTCAATTTACAATAAAAGTTTCAGTTTTTTAATCGTAACTTCAGATTTTCGAACATAAACCACTCTGAAGATTTTCTTAAACGATGCGCCATTGTTTCCTCTACAATACCTATATAATCGTTGCCCGTCACAATCTCTTGAAATTGGTCCAAAATTAATTTAAATTGGACTACCCCATAATCTCATTTTGTCAATTTCACAATAAAAGTTTCAGTTTTTTAATCGTAACTTCAGACTTTCGAACATAAACCACTCTGGAGATTTTCTTAAACGATGCGCCAATGTCTCCTCTACAACACCTATATAGTCGTTCTCCGTCACAATCTCTTTAAAATGGTCCATTTTTTTCTTTTAGTGCCCTACCCCCTAAATCTCATTTTGTCAACTTCACAATAAAATTTCCAGTTTTATAACCGTAACTTCAGATTTTCGAACATAAACCACTCTGGATATTTTCTTAAACAATGCGCCATTGTCTCCTCTACAACACCCATATAGTCATTGCCCGTCACAATCTCTTGAAATAGGTAAAAAAATAACTTAAATTGGCCTACCCCCTAATCTCATTTTGCCAATTTCACAATTTCAGTTTTTTAACCGTAACTTCAGATTTTCGAACATAAACCACTCTGGAGATTTTCTTAAACGATGCGCCATTGTCTCCTCTATAACACCTATATAGTCGTTACCCGTCACAATCTCTTAAAATTGGTCCAAAATTAACTTAAATTGCCCTACCCCCCTAATCTCATTTTGTCAATTTCACAATAAAAGTTTCAGTTTTTTAATCGTAACTTCAGATTTTCGAACATAAACCACTCTGGAGATTTTCTTAAACGATGCGCCATTGTTTCCTCTACAACACCTATATAGTCGTTGCCCGTCACAATCTCTTGAAATTGGTCAAAAAATAATTTAAATTGGCCTACCCCCCTTATCTCATTTTGTCAATTTCACAATTTTAGTTTTTTAACCGTTACTTCAGATTTTTGAACATAAATCACTCTGGAGATTCTCTTAAACGATGCGCCAATGTCTCCTCTACAACACCTATATAGTCGTTCTCCGTCACAGTCTCTTTAAAATGGTACAAATTTTTCTTTTAGTGCCCTACCCCCTTAATCTCATTTTGTCAATTTCACAATAAAATTTTCAGTTTTTTAACCGTAACTTCAGATTTTCGAACATAAACCAATCTGGAGATTTTCTTAAACGATGCGCCATTGTTTCCTCTACAACACCTAAATAGTCGTTCCCCGTCACAATCTCTTGAAATTGGTCCAAAATTAACTTTAATTGCCCTACCCCCTAATCTCATTTTGTCAACTTCACAAATAAAAGTTTCAGTTTTTTAATCGTAACTTCAGATTTTCGAACATAAACCACTCTGGAGATTTTCTTAAACGATGCGCCATTGTCTCCTCTACAACACCTATATAGTCGTTCGTCGTCACAATCTCTTGAAATTGGTCCAAAGTTAATTTAAATTGGCCTACCCCCCTTATCTCATTTTGTCAATTTCACAATTTCAATTTTTTTAACCGTAACTTCAGATTTTCGAACATAAACCACTCTGGATATTTTCTTAAACGATGCGCCATTGTTTCCTCTACAACACCTTTATAGTCGTTGCCCGTCACAATCTCTTAAAATTGGTCCAAAATTAACTTAAATTGCCCTACCCCCTAATCTCATTTTGTCAATTTCACAATAAAAGTTTCAGTTTTTTAACCGTAACTTCAGATTTTCGAACATAAACCACTCTGGAGATTTTCTTAAACGATGCGCCATTGTTTCCTCTACAACACCTATGTAGTCGTTGCCCGTCACAATCTCTTTAAATGGTCCAAATTTTTCTTTTAGTGCCCTACCCCCCTAATCTCATTTTGTCAATTTCACAATAAATTTTTTTTAACCGTAACTTCAGATTTTCGAACATAAACCACTCTGGAGATTTTCTTAAACGATGCGCCAATGTCTCCTCTACAACACCTATATAGTCGTTCTCCGTCACAATCTCTTTAAAATGGTCCAAATTTTTCTTTTAGTGCCCTACCCCCCTAATCTCATTTTGTCAATTTCACAATAAAATTTTCAGTTTTTTAACCGTAACTTCAGATTTTCGAACATAAACCACTCTGGAGTTTTTCTTAAACGACGCGCCATTGTCTCCTCTACAACACCTAAAAAGTCGTTGCCAGTCACAATCTCTTGAAATTGGTCCAAAATTAACTTAAATGGGCCTACCCCCCTAATCTCATTTTGTCAATTTCACAATTTCAGTTTTTTAACCGTAACTTCAGATTTTCGAACATAAACCACTCAGGAGATTTTCTTAAACGATGCGCCATTGTCTCCTCTACAACATCCATACAGTTGTTGCCCGTCACAATCTCTTGAAATTGGTCCAAAATTAACTTAAATTGGCCTACCCCCTAATCTCATTTTGTCAATTTCACAATTTCAGTTTTTTAACCGTAACTTCAGATTTTCGAACATAAACCACTCTGGAGATTTTCTTAAACGATGCGCAATTGTTTCCTCTACAACACCTATATAGTCGTTGCCCGTCACAATCTCTTGAAATTGGTCCAAAATTAACTCAAGTTGCCCTACCCCCGTAATCTCATTTTGTCAATTTCACAATAAAAGTTTCAGTTTTTTAATCGTAACTTCAGATTTTCGAACATAAACCACTCTGGAGATTTTCTTAAACGATGCGTCATTATCTCTTCTACAACACCTATATAGTCGTTCTCCGTCACAATCTCTTTAAAATGGTCAAAATTTTTCTTTTAGTGCCCTACCCCCCTAATCTCATTTTGTCAATTTCACAATAAAATTTTCAGTTTTTTAACCGTAACTTCAGATTTTCGAACATAAACCACTCTGGAGATTTTCTTAAACGACGCGCCATTGTCTCTTCTACAACACCTATATAGTCGTTGCCCGTCACAATCTCTTGAAATTGGTCCAAAATTAACTTAAATTGGCCTACCCCCCTAATCTCATTTTGTCAATTTCACAATTTCAGTTTTTTAACCGTAACTTCAGATTTTCGAACATAAACCACTCAGGAGATTTTCTTAAACGATGCGTCATTATCTCCTCTACAACACCTATATAGTCGTTGTCCGTCACAATCTCTTTAAAATGCCTTATTTTTCTTTTTGTGCCCTACCCCCCCTAATCTCATTTTGTCAATTTCACAAAAAAAAAAAAAAAAAAAAATCCAGTTTTTTAACCGTAACTTCAGATTTTCGAACATAAACCACTCTGGAGATTTTCTTAATAGATGCGCCATTGTCACCTCTACAAAATCCATATAGTTGTTGCCCGTCACAATCTCTTGAAATTGGTCCAAAATTAACTTAAGTTGCCCTACCCCCGTAATCTCATTTTGTCAATTTCACAATAAAAGTTTCAGTTTTTTAATCGTAACTTCAGATTTTCGAACATAAACCACTCTGGAGATTTTCTTAAACGATGCGTCATTATCTCCTCTACAACACCTATATAGTCGTTGTCCGTCACAATCTCTTTAAAATGCCTTATTTTTCTTTTTGTGCCCTACCCCCTAATCTCATTTTGTCAATTTCACAAAAAAAAAAAAAAAAAAATCCAGTTTTTTAACCGTAACTTCAGATTTTCGAACATAAACCACTCAGGAAATTTTCTTAAACGATGCGCCAATGTCTCCTCTACAACACCTATATAGTCGTTGCCCGTCACAATCTCTTCAAAATGGTCCAAATTTTTCTTTTAGTGCCCTACTCCCTTAATCTCATTTTGTCAATTTCACAATAAAAATTTCAGTTTTTTAACCGTAACTTCAGATTTTCGAACATAAACCACTCTGGATATTTTCTTAAACAATGCGCCATTGTCTCCTCTACAACACCCATATAGTCATTGCCCGTCACAATCTCTTGAAATAGGTAAAAAAATTACTTAAATTGGCCTACCCCCTAATCTCATTTTGCCAATTTCACAATTTCAGTTTTTTAACCGTAACTTCAGATTTTCGAACATAAACCACTCTGGAGATTTTCTTAAACGATGCGCCATTGTTTCCTCTATAACACCTATATAGTCGTTGCCCGTCACAATCTCTTAAAATTGGTCCAAAATTAACTTAAATTGCCCTACCCCCCTAATCTCATTTTGTCAATTTCACAATAAAAGTTTCAGTTTTTTAATCGTAACTTCAGATTTTCGAACATAAACCACTCTGGAGATTTTCTTAAACGATGCGTCATTATCTCCTCTACAACACCTATATAGTCGTTGTCCGTCACAATCTCTTTAAAATGCCTTATTTTTCTTTTTGTGCCCTACCCCCTAATCTCATTTTGTCAATTTCACAATAAAAGTTTCAGTTTTTTAATCGTAACTTCAGATTTTCGAACATAAACCACTCTGGAGATTTTCTTAAACGATGCGCCATTGTCTCCTCTACAACACCTATGTAGTCGTTGCCCGTCACAATCGCTTGAAGTTGGTCCAAAATTAATTTAAATTGGCCTACCCCACTTATCTCAATTTGTTAATTTCACAATTTCAGTTTTTTAACCGTAACTTCAGATTTTCGAACATAAACCACTCTGGAGATTTTCTTAAACGATGCGCCATTGTTTCCTCTACAACACCTATATAGTCGTTGCCCGTCACAATCTCTTAAAATTGGTCCAAAATTAACTTAAATTGCCCTAACCCCCTAATCTCATTTTGTCAATTTCACAATAAAAGTTTCAGTTTTTTAATCGTAACTTCAGATTTTCGAACATAAATCACTCTGGAGATTCTCTTAAACGATGCGCCAATGTCTCCTCTACAACACCTATATAGTCGTTCTCCGTCACAGTCTCTTTAAAATGGTACAAATTTTTCTTTTAGTGCCCTACCCCCTTAATCTCATTTTGTCAATTTCACAATAAAATTTTCAGTTTTTTAACCGTAACTTCAGATTTTCGAACATAAACCAATCTGGAGATTTTCTTAAACGATGCGCCATTGTTTCCTCTACAACACCTAAATAGTCGTTCCCCGTCACAATCTCTTGAAATTGGTCCAAAATTAACTTAAATTGCCCTACCCCCTAATCTCATTTTGTCAACTTCACAAATAAAAGTTTCAGTTTTTTAATCGTAACTTCAGATTTTCGAACATAAATCACTCTGGAGATTTTCTTAAACGATGCGCCATTGTCTCCTCTACAACACCTATATAGTCGTTCGTCGTCACAATCTCTTGAAATTGGTCCAAAATTAATTTAAATTGGCCTACCCCCCTTATCTCATTTTGTCAATTTCACAATTTCAATTTTTTTAACCGTAACTTCAGATTTTCGAACATAAACCACTCTGGATATTTTCTTAAACGATGCGCCATTGTTTCCTCTACAACACCTTTATAGTCGTTGCCCGTCACAATCTCTTAAAATTGGTCCAAAATTAACTTAAATTGCCCTACCCCCTAATCTCATTTTGTCAATTTCACAATAAAAGTTTCAGTTTTTTAACCGTAACTTCAGATTTTCGAACATAAACCACTCTGGAGATTTTCTTAAACGATGCGCCATTGTCTCCTCTACAACACCTATATAGTCGTTGCCCGTCACAATCTCTTTAAAATGGTCCAAATTTTTCTTTTAGTGCCCTACCCCCCTAATCTCATTTTGTCAATTTCACAATAAAATTTTTTTAACCGTAACTTCAGATTTTCGAACATAAACCACTCTGGAGATTTTCTTAAACGATGCGCCAATGTCTCCTCTACAACACCTATATAGTCGTTCTCCGTCACAATCTCTTTAAAATGGTCCAAATTTTTCTTTTAGTGCCCTACCCCCCTAATCTCATTTTGTCAATTTCACAATAAAATTTTCAGTTTTTTAACCGTAACTTCAGATTTTCGAACATAAACCACTCTGGAGATTTTCTTAAACGACGCGCCATTGTCTCCTCTACAACACCTATATAGTCGTTGCCCGTCACAATCTCTTGAAATTGGTCCAAAATTAACTTAAATTGGCCTACCCCCCTAATCTCATTTTGTCAATTTCACAATTTCAGTTTTTTAACCGTAACTTCAGATTTTCGAACATAAACCACTCAGGAGATTTTCTTAAACGATGCGCCATTGTCTCCTCTACAACATCCATACAGTTGTTGCCCGTCACAATCTCTTGAAATTGGTCCAAAATTAACTTAAATTGGCCTACCGCCTAATCTCATTTTGACAATTTCACAATTTCAGTTTTTTAACCGTAACTTCAGATTTTCGAACATAAACCACTCTGGGGATTTTCTTAAACGATGCGCAATTGTTTCCTCTACAACACCTATATAGTCGTTGCCCGTCACAATCTCTTGAAATTGGTCCAAAATTAACTCAAGTTGCCCTACCCCCGTAATCTCATTTTGTCAATTTCACAATAAAAGTTTCAGTTTTTTAATCGTAACTTCAGATTTTCGAACATAAACCACTCTGGAGATTTTCTTAAACGATGCGTCATTATCTCCTCTACAACACCTATATAATCGTTGTCCGTCACAATCTCTTTAAAATGCCTTATTTTTCTTTTTGTGCCCTACCCCCCTAATCTCATTTTGTCAATTTCACCAAAAAAAAACAAAAAAAAAATTCCAGTTTTTTAACCGTAACTTCAGATTTTCGAACATAAACCACTCAGGAGATTTTCTTAAACGATGCGCCAATGTCTTCTCTACAACACCTATATAGTCGTTGCCCGTCACAATCTATTCAAAATGGTCCAAATCTTTCTTTTAGTGCCCTACTCCCTTAATCTCATTTTGTCAATTTCACAATAAAATTTTCAGTTTTTTAACCGTACTTTCAGATTTTTGAACATAAACCACTCTGGAAATTTTCTTAAACGATGCGCCAATTTCTCCTCTACAACACCTAGATAGTCGTTCTCCGTCACAATCTCTTTAAAATGGTCAAAATTTTTCTTTTAGTGCCCTACCCCCTTAATCTCATTTTGTCAATTTCACAATAAAATTTTCAGTTTTTTAACCGTAACTTCAGATTTTCGAACATAAACCACTCTGGAGATTTTCTTAAACGATGCGCCATTGTTTCCTCTACAACACCTAAATAGTCGTTCCCCGTCACAATCTCTTGAAATTGGTCCAAAATTAACTTAAATTGCCCTACCCCCTAATCTCATTTTGTCAACTTCACAAATAAAAGTTTCAGTTTTTTAATCGTAACTTCAGATTTTCGAACATAAACCACTCTGGAGATTTTCTTAAACGATGCGCCATTGTCTCCTCTACAACACCTATATAGTCGTTCGTCGTCACAATCTCTTGAAATTGGTCCAAAATTAATTTAAATTGGCCTACCCCCCTTATCTCATTTTGTCAATTTCACAATTTCAGTTTTTTAACCGTAACTTCAGATTTTCGAACATAAACCACTCTGGATATTTTCTTAAACGATGCGCCATTGTTTCCTCTACAACACCTTTATAGTCGTTGCCCGTCACAATCTCTTAAAATTGGTCCAAAATTAACTTAAATTGCCCTACCCCCTAATCTCATTTTGTCAATTTCACAATAAAAGTTTCAGTTTTTTAAACGTAACTTCAGATTTTCGAACATAAACCACTCTGGAGATTTTCTTAAACGATGCGCCATTGTTTCCTCTACAACACCTATATAGTCGTTGCCCGTCACAATCTCTTTAAAATGGTCCAAATTTTTCTTTTAGTGCCCTACCCCCCTAATCTCATTTTGTCAATTTCACAATAAAATTTTTTTAACCGTAACTTCAGATTTTCGAACATAAACCACTCTGGAGATTTTCTTAAACGATGCGCCAATGTCTCCTCTACAACACCTATATAGTCGTTCTCCGTCACAATCTCTTTAAAATGGTCCAAATTTTTCTTTTAGTGCCCTACCCCCCTAATCTCATTTTGTCAATTTCACAATAAAATTTTCAGTTTTTTAACCGTAACTTCAGATTTTCGAACATAAACCACTCTGGAGATTTTCTTAAACGACGCGCCATTGTCTCTTCTACAACACCTATATAGTCGTTGCCCGTCACAATCTCTTGAAATTGGTCCAAAATTAACTTAAATTGGCCTACCCCCTAATCTCATTTTGTCAATTTCACAATTTCAGTTTTTTAACCGTAACTTTAGATTTTCGAACATAAACCACTCTGGAGATTTTCTTAAACGATGCGCAATTGTTTTCTGTACAACACCTTTATAGTCGTTGCCCGTCACAATCTCTTGAAATTGGTCCAAATTTAACTCAAGTTGCCCTACCCCCGTAATCTCATTTTGTCAATTTCACAATAAAAGTTTCAGTTTTTTAATCGTAACTTCAGATTTTCGAACATAAACCACTCTGGAGATTTTCTTAAACGATGCGTCATTATCTCCTCTACAACACCTATATAGTCGTTGTCCGTCACAATCTCTTTAAAATGCCTTATTTTTCTTTTTGTGCCCTACCCCCCTAATCTCATTTTGTCAATTTCTGGAGATTTTCTTAAACGATGCGCCATTGTTTCCTCTACAACACCTTTATAGTCGTTGCCCGTCACAATCTCTTAAAATTGGTCCAAAATTAACTTAAATTGCCCTACCCCCTAATCTCATTTTGTCAATTTCACAATAAAAGTTTCAGTTTTTTAACCGTAACTTCAGATTTTCGAACATAAACCACTCTGGAGATTTTCTTAAACGATGCGCCATTGTCTCCTCTACAACACCTATATAGTCGTTGCCCGTCACAATCTCTTTAAAATGGTCCAAATTTTTCTTTTAGTGCCCTACCCCCCTAATCTCATTTTGTCAATTTCACAATAAAATTTTTTTAACCGTAACTTCAGATTTTCGAACATAAACCACTCTGGAGATTTTCTTAAACGATGCGCCAATGTCTCCTCTACAACACCTATATAGTCGTTCTCCGTCACAATCTCTTTAAAATGGTCCAAATTTTTCTTTTAGTGCCCTACCCCCCTAATCTCATTTTGTCAATTTCACAATAAAATTTTCAGTTTTTTAACCGTAACTTCAGATTTTCGAACATAAACCACTCTGGAGATTTTCTTAAACGACGCGCCATTGTCTCCTCTACAACACCTATATAGTCGTTGCCCGTCACAATCTCTTGAAATTGGTCCAAAATTAACTTAAATTGGCCTACCCCCCTAATCTCATTTTGTCAATTTCACAATTTCAGTTTTTTAACCGTAACTTCAGATTTTCGAACATAAACCACTCAGGAGATTTTCTTAAACGATGCGCCATTGTCTCCTCTACAACATCCATACAGTTGTTGCCCGTCACAATCTCTTGAAATTGGTCCAAAATTAACTTAAATTGGCCTACCGCCTAATCTCATTTTGACAATTTGACAATTTCAGTTTTTTAACCGTAACTTCAGATTTTCGAACATAAACCACTCTGGGGATTTTCTTAAACGATGCGCAATTGTTTCCTCTACAACACCTATATAGTCGTTGCCCGTCACAATCTCTTGAAATTGGTCCAAAATTAACTCAAGTTGCCCTACCCCCGTAATCTCATTTTGTCAATTTCACAATAAAAGTTTCAGTTTTTTAATCGTAACTTCAGATTTTCGAACATAAACCACTCTGGAGATTTTCTTAAACGATGCGTCATTATCTCCTCTACAACACCTATATAATCGTTGTCCGTCACAATCTCTTTAAAATGCCTTATTTTTCTTTTTGTGCCCTACCCCCCTAATCTCATTTTGTCAATTTCACAAAAAAAAACAAAAAAAAAATTCCAGTTTTTTAACCGTAACTTCAGATTTTCGAACATAAACCACTCAGGAGATTTTCTTAAACGATGCGCCAATGTCTTCTCTACAACACCTATATAGTCGTTGCCCGTCACAATCTATTCAAAATGGTCCAAATCTTTCTTTTAGTGCCCTACTCCCTTAATCTCATTTTGTCAATTTCACAATAAAATTTTCAGTTTTTTAACCGTACTTTCAGATTTTTGAACATAAACCACTCTGGAAATTTTCTTAAACGATGCGCCAATTTCTCCTCTACAACACCTAGATAGTCGTTCTCCGTCACAATCTCTTTAAAATGGTCAAAATTTTTCTTTTAGTGCCCTACCCCCTTAATCTCATTTTGTCAATTTCACAATAAAATTTTCAGTTTTTTAACCGTAACTTCAGATTTTCGAACATAAACCACTCTGGAGATTTTCTTAAACGATGCGCCATTGTTTCCTCTACAACACCTAAATAGTCGTTCCCCGTCACAATCTCTTGAAATTGGTCCAAAATTAACTTAAATTGCCCTACCCCCTAATCTCATTTTGTCAACTTCACAAATAAAAGTTTCAGTTTTTTAATCGTAACTTCAGATTTTCGAACATAAACCACTCTGGAGATTTTCTTAAACGATGCGCCATTGTCTCCTCTACAACACCTATATAGTCGTTCGTCGTCACAATCTCTTGAAATTGGTCCAAAATTAATTTAAATTGGCCTACCCCCCTTATCTCATTTTGTCAATTTCACAATTTCAGTTTTTTAACCGTAACTTCAGATTTTCGAACATAAACCACTCTGGATATTTTCTTAAACGATGCGCCATTGTTTCCTCTACAACACCTTTATAGTCGTTGCCCGTCACAATCTCTTAAAATTGGTCCAAAATTAACTTAAATTGCCCTACCCCCTAATCTCATTTTGTCAATTTCACAATAAAAGTTTCAGTTTTTTAAACGTAACTTCAGATTTTCGAACATAAACCACTCTGGAGATTTTCTTAAACGATGCGCCATTGTTTCCTCTACAACACCTATATAGTCGTTGCCCGTCACAATCTCTTTAAAATGGTCCAAATTTTTCTTTTAGTGCCCTACCCCCCTAATCTCATTTTGTCAATTTCACAATAAAATTTTTTTAACCGTAACTTCAGATTTTCGAACATAAACCACTCTGGAGATTTTCTTAAACGATGCGCCAATGTCTCCTCTACAACACCTATATAGTCGTTCTCCGTCACAATCTCTTTAAAATGGTCCAAATTTTTCTTTTAGTGCCCTACCCCCCTAATCTCATTTTGTCAATTTCACAATAAAATTTTCAGTTTTTTAACCGTAACTTCAGATTTTCGAACATAAACCACTCTGGAGATTTTCTTAAACGACGCGCCATTGTCTCTTCTACAACACCTATATAGTCGTTGCCCGTCACAATCTCTTGAAATTGGTCCAAAATTAACTTAAATTGGCCTACCCCCTAATCTCATTTTGTCAATTTCACAATTTCAGTTTTTTAACCGTAACTTTAGATTTTCGAACATAAACCACTCTGGAGATTTTCTTAAACGATGCGCTATTGTTTCCTCTACAACACCTATATAGTCGTTGCCCGTCACAATCTCTTGAAATTGGTCCAAATTTAACTCAAGTTGCCCTACCCCCGTAATCTCATTTTGTCAATTTCACAATAAAAGTTTCAGTTTTTTAATCGTAACTTCAGATTTTCGGACATAAACCACTCTGGAGATTTTCTTAAACGATGCGTCATTATCTCCTCTACAACACCTATATAGTCGTTGTCCGTCACAATCTCTTTAAAATGCCTTATTTTTCTTTTTGTGCCCTACCCCCCTAATCTCATTTTGTCAATTTCACAAAAAAAAACACAAAAAAAATTCCAGTTTTTTAACCGTAACTTCAGATTTTCGAACATAAACCACTCAGGAGATTTTCTTAAACGACGCGCCATTGTCTCCTCTACAACACCTATATAGTCGTTGCCCGTCACAATCTCTTGAAATTGGTCCAAAATTAACTTAAATTGGCCTACCCCCCTAATCTCATTTTGTCAATTTCACAATTTCAGTTTTTTAACCGTAAATTCAGATTTTCGAACATAAACCACTCAGGAGATTTTCTTAAACGATGCGCCATTGTCTCCTCTACAACATCCATACAGTTGTTGCCCGTCACAATCTCTTGAAATTGGTCCAAAATTAACTTAAATTGGCCTACCGCCTAATCTCATTTTGACAATTTCACAATTTCAGTTTTTTAACCGTAACTTCAGATTTTCGAACATAAACCACTCTGGGGATTTTCTTAAACGATGCGCAATTGTTTCCTCTACAACACCTATATAGTCGTTGCCCGTCACAATCTCTTGAAATTGGTCCAAAATTAACTCAAGTTGCCCTACCCCCGTAATCTCATTTTGTCAATTTCACAATAAAAGTTTCAGTTTTTTAATCGTAACTTCAGATTTTCGAACATAAACCACTCTGGAGATTTTCTTAAACGATGTGTCATTATCTCCTCTACAACACCTATATAATCGTTGTCCGTCACAATCTCTTTAAAATGCCTTATTTTTCTTTTTGTGCCCTACCCCCCTAATCTCATTTTGTCAATTTCACAAAAAAAAACAAAAAAAAAATTCCAGTTTTTTAACCGTAACTTCAGATTTTCGAACATAAACCACTCAGGAGATTTTCTTAAACGATGCGCCAATGTCTTCTCTACAACACCTATATAGTCGTTGCCCGTCACAATCTATTCAAAATGGTCCAAATCTTTCTTTTAGTGCCCTACTCCCTTAATCTCATTTTGTCAATTTCACAATAAAATTTTCAGTTTTTTAACCGTACTTTCAGATTTTTGAACATAAACCACTCTGGAAATTTTCTTAAACGATGCGCCAATGTCTCCTCTACAACACCTAGATAGTCGTTCTCCGTCACAATCTCTTTAAAATGGTCAAAATTTTTCTTTTAGTGCCCTACCCCCTTAATCTCATTTTGTCAATTTCACAATAAAATTTTCAGTTTTTTAACCGTAACTTCAGATTTTCGAACATAAACCACTCTGGAGATTTTCTTAAACGATGCGCCATTGTTTCCTCTACAACACCTAAATAGTCGTTCCCCGTCACAATCTCTTGAAATTGGTCCAAAATTAACTTAAATTGCCCTACCCCCTAATCTCATTTTGTCAACTTCACAAATAAAAGTTTCAGTTTTTTAATCGTAACTTCAGATTTTCGAACATAAACCACTCTGGAGATTTTCTTAAACGATGCGCCATTGTCTCCTCTACAACACCTATATAGTCGTTCGTCGTCACAATCTCTTGAAATTGGTCCAAAATTAATTTAAATTGGCCTACCCCCCTTATCTCATTATGTCAATTTCACGATTTCAGTTTTTTAACCGTAACTTCAGATTTTCGAACATAAACCACTCTGGATATTTTCTTAAACGATGCGCCATTGTTTCCTCTACAACACCTTTATAGTCGTTGCCCGTCACAATCTCTTAAAATTGGTCCAAAATTAACTTAAATTGCCCTACCCCCTAATCTCATTTTGTCAATTTCACAATAAAAGTTTCAGTTTTTTAAACGTAACTTCAGATTTTCGAACATAAACCACTCTGGAGATTTTCTTAAACGATGCGCCATTGTTTCCTCTACAACACCTATATAGTCGTTGCCCGTCACAATCTCTTTAAAATGGTCCAAATTTTTCTTTTAGTGCCCTACCCCCCTAATCTCATTTTGTCAATTTCACAATAAAATTTTTTTAACCGTAACTTCAGATTTTCGAACATAAACCACTCTGGAGATTTTCTTAAACGATGCGCCAATGTCTCCTCTACAACACCTATATAGTCGTTCTCCGTCACAATCTCTTTAAAATGGTCCAAATTTTTCTTTTAGTGCCCTACCCCCCTAATCTCATTTTGTCAATTTCACAATAAAATTTTCAGTTTTTTAACCGTAACTTCAGATTTTCGAACATAAACCACTCTGGAGATTTTCTTAAACGACGCGCCATTGTCTCTTCTACAACACCTATATAGTCGTTGCCCGTCACAATCTCTTGAAATTGGTCCAAAATTAACTTAAATTGGCCTACCCCCTAATCTCATTTTGTCAATTTCACAATTTCAGTTTTTTAACCGTAACTTTAGATTTTCGAACATAAACCACTCTGGAGATTTTCTTAAACGATGCGCTATTGTTTCCTCTACAACACCTATATAGTCGTTGCCCGTCACAATCTCTTGAAATTGGTCCAAATTTAACTCAAGTTGCCCTACCCCCGTAATCTCATTTTGTCAATTTCACAATAAAAGTTTCAGTTTTTTAATCGTAACTTCAGATTTTCGGACATAAACCACTCTGGAGATTTTCTTAAACGATGCGTCATTATCTCCTCTACAACACCTATATAGTCGTTGTCCGTCACAATCTCTTTAAAATGCCTTATTTTTCTTTTTGTGCCCTACCCCCCTAATCTCATTTTGTCAATTTCACAAAAAAAAACACAAAAAAAATTCCAGTTTTTTAACCGTAACTTCAGATTTTCGAACATAAACCACTCAGGAGATTTTCTTAAACGATGCGCCAATGTCTTCTCTACAACACCTATATAGTCGTTGCCCGTCACAATCTCTTCAAAATGGTCCAAATTTTTCTTTTAGTGCCCTACTCCCTTAATCTCATTTTGTCAATTTCACAATAAAATTTTCAGTTTTTTAACCGTAACTTCAGATTTTCGAACATAAACCACTCTGGAGATTTTCTTAAACGATGCGCCAATGTCTCTTCTACAACACCTATATAGTCGTTCTCCGTGACAATCTCTTTAAAATGGTCATAATTTTTCTTTTAGTGCCCTACCCCCCTAATCTCATTTTGTCAATTTCACAATAACATTTTCAGTTTTTTAACCGTAACTTCAGATTTTCGAACATAAACCACTCTGGAGATTTTCTTAAACGACGCGCCATTGTCTCTTCTACAACACCTATATAGTCGTTGCCCGTCACAATCTCTTGAAATTGGTCCAAAATTAACTTAAATTGGCCTACCCCCCTAATCTCATTTTGTCAATTTCACAATTTCAGTTTTTTAACCGTAACTTCAGATTTTCGAACATAAACCACTCAGGAGATTTTCTTAAACGATGCGTCATTATCTCCTCTACAACACCTATATAGTCGTTGTCCGTCACAATCTCTTTAAAATGCCTTATTTTTCTTTTTGTGCCCTACCCCCCTAATCTCATTTTGTCAATTTCACAATAAAAGTTTCAGTTTTTTAATCGTAACTTCAGATTTTCGAACATAAACCACTCTGGAGATTTTCTTAAACGATGCGCCATTGTCACTTCTACAACATCCATATAGTTGTTGCCCGTCACAATCTCTTGAAATTGGTCCAAAATTAACTTAAGTTGCCCTATCCCCCTAATCTCATTTTGTCAATTTCACAATAAAAGTTTCAGTTTTTTAATCGTAACTTCAGATTTTCGAACATAAACCACTCTGGAGATTTTCTTAAACGATGCGCCATTGTCTTCTCTACAACACCTATATAGTCGTTGCCCGTCACAATCTTTTGAAATTGGTCCAAAATTAATTTAAAATTGGCCTACCCCCCTTATCTCTTTTTGTCAATTTCACAATTTCAGTTTTTTAACCGTAACTTCAGATTTTCGAACATAAACCACTCTGGATATTTTCTTAAACGATGCGCCATTGTCTCCTCTACAACATCCATATAGTTGTTGCCCGTCACAATCTCTTGAAATTGGTCCAAAATTAACTTAAGTTGCCCTACTCCCCTAATCTCATTTTGTCAATTTCACAATAAAATTTTCAGTTTTTTAATCGTAACTTCAGATTTTCGAACATAAACCACTCTGGAGATTTTCTTAAACGATGCGCCATTGTCACTTCTACAACATCCATATAGTTGTTGCCCGTCACAATCTCTTGAAATTGGTCCAAAATTAACTTAAGTTGCCCTACCGCCCTAATCTCATTTTGTCAATTTCACAATAAAAGTTTCAGTTTTTTAATCGTAACTTCAGATTTTCGAACATAAACCACTCTGGAGATTTTCTTAAACGATGCGCCATTGTCTCCTCTACAACACCTATATAGTCGTTGTCCGTCACAATCTCTTTAAAATGGTCCTAATTTTTCTTTTGTGCCCTACCCCCCTAATCTCATTTTGTCAATTTCACAATAAATTTTTCAGTTTTTTAACCGTAACTTCAGATTTTCGAACATAAACAACTCTGGAGATTTTCTTAAACGATGCGCCAATGTGTCCTCTACAACACCTATATAGTCGTTGCCCGTCACAATCTCTTCAAAATGGTCCAAATTTTTCTTTTAGTGCCCTACCCCCTTAATCTCATTTTGTCAATTTCACAATAAAATTTTCAGTTTTTTAACCGTTACTTCAGATTTTCGAACATAAACCACTCTGGAGATTTTCTTCAACGATGCGCAATGGTCTCCTCTACAACACCTATATAGTCGTTGCCCGTCACAATCTCTTGAAATTGGTCCAAAATTAATTTAAATTGGCCTACCCCCCTAATCTCATTTTGTCAATTTCACAATTTCAGTTTTTTAATCGTAACTTCAGATTTTCGAACATAAACCACTCTGGAGATTTTCTTAAACGATGCGCCATTGTCTTTTCTACAACACCTATATAGTCGTTGCCCGTCACAATCTTTTGAAATTGGTCCAAAATTAATTTAAAATTGGCCTACCCCCCTTATCTCATTTTGTCAATTTCACAATTTCAGTTTTTTAACCGTAACTTCAGATTTTCGAACATAAACCACTCTGGATATTTTCTTAAACGATGCGCCATTGTCTCCTCTACAACATCCATATAGTTGTTGCCCGTCACAATCTCTTGAAATTGGTCCAAAATTAACTTAAGTTGCCCTACTCCCCTATTCTCATTTTGTCAATTTCACAATACAATTTTCAGTTTTTTAATCGTAACTTCAGATTTTCGAACATAAACCACTCTGGAGATTTTCTTAAACGATGCGCCATTGTCACCTCTACAATATCCATATAGTTGTTGCCCGTCACAATCTCTTAAAATTGGTCCAAAATTAACTTAAGTTGCCCTACCCCCCTAATCTCATTTTGTCAATTTCACAATAAAAGTTTCAGTTTTTTAATCGTAACTTCAGATTTTCGAACATAAACCACTCTGGAGATTTTCTTCAACGATGCGCCAATGTGTCCTCTTCAACACCCATATATTCGTTGTCCGTCACAATCTCTTTAAAATGGTCCAAATTTTTCTTTTAGTGCCCTACCCGCCTAATCTCATTTTGTCAATTTTACAATAAAATTTTCAGTTTTTTAACCGTAACTTCAGATTTTCGAACATAAACCACTCTGGAGATTTTCTTAAACAATGCGCCATTGTCTCCCCTACAACACCTATATAGTCATTGCCCGTCACAATCTCTTCAAATTGGTCTAAAATTAACTTAAATTGGCCTACCCCCTAATCTCATTTATTCAATTTCACAATTTCAGTTTTTTAACCGTAAGTTCAGATTTTCGAACATAAACCAATCTTGAGATTTTCTCAAACGATGCGCCAATGTCTCCTCTACAACACCTTTATAGTCATTGGTCCAAAATTAACTTTGAGTGCCCTACTCCCCAAATCTCATTTTGAAAGTTTCAGTTTTTTAACCCTAACTTCAGATTTTCGAACATAAAGTGAACTGGATTTTTTTTTCTACACGATGCGCCAATGTCTCCTCTACAACAACTATATAGTCGTTGCCCGTCACAATCTCTATAAATTGGTTCAACATTAACTTTAAGTGCCCTACCCCCCTAATCTTATTTTGTCAATTTCAGTTTTTTTACCGTAACTTCTGATTTTCGAACATAAACCTCTCTGGAGATTTTCCTAAACGATGCAGAAATGTCTCCTCTAAAACACCTATATAGTCGTTGCCTGTAACAATCTATTCAAATTGGTCAAAAATTAACTTAAAATGTCCTATACCCAAATTTCATTTTGTTAATTTCAGTTTTTTTCTACCACAATTTAAGATTTTCGAACATAAACCACTCTGGAAATTTTTTCTCAACTATGCGGCACTATCTCCTCTTAAACACCTATATAGCCTAACCTGTCACAATCTCCATTAATCGGACCAAACAACGTAAAGTGCACCCCCGTTCCCTAAAAATGCATTGTGTCATTGTGTTAACTTATGGCCATTGTAATCCAGCTGTCTATTGAATGCCTTATGTGGATTTATTTAGTTAGGAAAGAAAAGCTTTGTATTCTTTATATATAAAGTATGGTTTCCCTTTTGTTTTAAGTTAGTTTTTTCGTTTTTGTTTAAGATTGTATGCATTCTCATAATTGTTCGCTAGCTCGAAAAAACGTGATAACCTTATGTGATATTGTGGTTTTTAGATATACCTCCTAATTGTTCGCTAGCTAATTGTTCGCTACAATTGTTCGCTAGCTTGAGTCAGGTTGATGTTCCACACATATTTATTTCCTGAAATTTTCGAATATCTTTCTTTGTATTTAAATTGTTATTTGCTTAGTCTACATGTACTAGAATATCCAGTATAAAATCTTAATGGTAAAACCAGGTCCGATCTTATATTTTGAAAAGTCATTTTTTTTAAATAGTTTGGAAAAATTATTGTAAAATGTTTATTGTATAGACTCTAAGATAAATCAGAAAAATTCAACAACTTCAGGATTGTGACACTGCGAGTGATACTGTAAACAAACTAATTTTCGCGAGCAATTTTTTTTCGCGACTTTCGCGAGTAGAAAAATAACGCGAATATAAATCGTTGTGAAAATTTAAAACTTTGATCTTTCCTTATCTAACTACATCAAGTGAATTTGAAAAGCGCGAAATTAAATCGCCTCGAATTGGGATGGAAAGGGCTAAACGCGAAATAAAGTATCCGCGAAAATAAGTTGGTTTACAGTATATTGGCCCTACCTCTTTCACCACAAATATCTTCAGCGAAAAGTTTGGCTCTTTTAAATGTTTGCTTGAAAGCCTGTAATAATTCAATACTGATAAACTGATAAAAATTGGTTCATAAAGTATGCAACAGGAAATGTACGGTTTTCGAGCATGAAATATTAGAAGACTTGAACTTGAATGTATTGTTTTCTTTTTAAATATTACGGGTGTGTTTTCAGTGTGGTAAAAAAAGAAGACAAATAACAAATAAAAACCATCCTTTTTGGTTTAATTGTTGAGAATTTGAATACTATTTAAAGTTTTTTCAATGAAAATCAACATATATGATCGCATTACATCAAACCATCTCACGTCATGTTAAGTATTTGTGAAAGAATGCCTAACGGTGGTCAAGCATTGCGATCGGATCGTGAATTGAATTAATTGTAATTCAGTCTACATTGAATTTTGTTGATTTTTCATAAAAATTGATCGTGAAAGATCGGGCAACGCATTATCTTGATCGTGAAAGACAAGGCGTGACCAGACGGACGCAGGACGTTTTCGCCATTTTATTTGTAACACTAAAGGACATTTGCGCTTCAAACTCTATGGACATTTGCGCTTTAAACTTTGATACACCTGAACAAAATTGACAAGACATGTGCGCTTTTTACCTATGAAAGTTTACCTGTAGTATTTATAAAATTTAGCGAAGTCATGGAAAGATGTTCACATATTCTTTGAAAGTTCTTCCGGACAAACAACAAAATCAGAAAAAAAATTATTCGGGTAAACCAGACATATTATAAAAAATATATTATAAGTTTCTGGGTAAACGATAGAAAAAAGGAAACCTTTATGGATGGAACATTTAAATTTTGACCGAAATTCTTCAATTAGCTTTCTTATTACTGGCTTTGAATTGGAGACTTTATTCCTCTTGTGGTTATTATGTTACCCGAATAGTAAGAGGAACTGTACCATCATAGTATATCTAAGGTTGTTTCAATTTGTGAAGACCGAAATTTTATTTTTAAACCACGGTACCTGCTGTACCTGTTGACTTTTAGAAAGACTCATGGTTGTTATAAGGAATTTACTCCCATCCTCTCTCTTGGATTGTTGTCGTTTTTAACTGACACAAGCATGATGGGGAAAGGTGGATGCTTTTAGTTGTTTATAGATATATGAATATTTTGTGTTTTTTCTTCTTATATTTAACGGTTTTTTATGTTATGTTGATAAAGCGCAAATGTTCTCTTGAAAAAAAACGCAAATGTCATTTTTAAAAAAGCGCAAATGTTCTAAACATTTAAGCGTAAATGTCCATTAAAAAAAGCGCAAATTTCCCATCAAAAAGCGCAAACGTCCCGTGCTTATAAATTGATTAAGAAATGTAATTTATCCAGGTCACAGTCGCTTCCAAAAGACTTAATGTTTTGTCGATGACATTGTTTATAATTATGTTACTTTGTTTAAATGTGTATATAAAAAAGAAGATGTGGTATGATTGCCAATGAGACAACTCTCCACAAGAGACCAAATGACACAGAAATTAACAATACGGCCTTCAACAATGAGCAAAGCCCATACCGCACAGTCAGCTATAAAAAACCCCGAAATGACAATGTAAAACAATTCAAACGAGAAAACTAACGGCCTAATTTATGTACAAGAAATGAACGAAAAACAAATATGTAACACATAAACAAACGAAAACCACTGAATTACAGGCTCCTGACTTGGGACAGGCACATACATATAGAATGTGGTGGGGTTAAACATGTTAGCGGGATCCCAACCCTCCCCCTAACCTGGGACAGTGGTGTAACAGTACAACATAAGAACGAACTATAAAAATCAGTTGAAAGAGGCTTAACGCATCAGATGGATAAAAATACAAATACTACAAATACAAGTGGACGTGGCCGGGTACTTGTACATCCAAACAACAAAAAGACACTAAGTACAGATCTGAGAGTACTCGCAGTTACTGACAGCTAGTTCAAATCCACTAACAACTAATAACAAAAAATCATGCATCTAAGACTAAATTATCAATCCGTACAACTCCAACATCCAATGGATTTAGTGTAAAGACGTCATAAACAGTCAGAGAAAAACATGACCTTGTGCAATGCCAAGATACAGGTATCGTCAGATTGTAGATCCATGAATGTGTATATGTATATAACAATAATATTTAGTTTGCTTTTAGTTTTTGTTTAAATGTACTTTAAATCATTCTGATCATTTACTGTGTTTTATTTTGTAATTTATTTGATTGTTTAGCTCAAATTTTGGGCACCATGATTGGTAAATAAAATATCTTGTATCTTGCATCTTGTATCCCTCGCCGGATCAGAATTAACAATCAGAAGACAATATTTCTTTTACCAGTTGATAAACTAGTTGAAGCGTGTAATTATTTTGATAAGAACGAACATAAATGCTTACATCTTTTTTTAACTTTTTTTTCCTTAAAAGTTATTAGAATAAGTAAAACTTGTCGAAATAAGTAGATTTGCAAGATAAAAGGACCTTCAGGAGCGTAAATTTTCGAAAAGTAAAGGTAAATATGTATCTATAATGCTTAATGATGCATGAAAATATATGCATGTGTACGCATTTTTCTTCTTTTTTTTTTTTTGTAAGAGTTGTTACCTTCAGTTATATGGAGAGTCGTTCGTGCGTACATATTATGACAATATTGGCTATTTTATTGTTTATTTAGTGGCTGACATAAACGTAAAAGGTACCAATACAACGTTATTTTTTACTTGATTGTTTGATCAGTCTGTTCACAATAGCTATACGTCATTGTACCAACTTATTGAAGAAATTACCAATCAACGTACCTTGCGATCGATTTTGCATTATGCCCAGCTTGAACTGTAATTTAGCGGATTAGGTTCTATTCTCAATCTTAATTTGTATAAGAAATCAAAACTTATGAAGGACGAACAAAAATATTGATATTCCTATAAAGCACCTAGTCGGTGTGGTATTATGAGATAATCAGATCCAATGGCATTGAACGATTATATCCCTATTCACCTACAAAAGAGAACCGGAATGAGGTATGCAAATCCAATATTTGCTATACCAATTAAAAATATAAATTATCATATAATTAAAAAATGATTTGAACGTTTTTGTAGCATCAGATCTTTCACGATCCTTTTCGCGATCTTCAAAAAGCGGAACGCGATCTTTCACGATCCAAAAAATCATTTTTTTTCAGATATTTAATTTTTTGCAAAATTTCTGATTACTTTAACACAAAATAACTGTAAGAACCATTTGAATCATCGAAATGGAATGACATGTTTCAAAGAAAAGTTGTTTAGTCATTCGAATTATGGTAAAAATCTTGTTTGTTTACATATTTAACGTCATTGAAATGTCAAGGAGCAATCTGCCTTTTGTAGTTTTGAAAAACGGTTTACTTTTAAATCTTGATTTTCTCAGATACTGATCATAATGTTGAACCATTTCGACAGACAGTTTTATTTTTTTGTAAATTTGTCCGTATTATTCATTAAATCAGATTAGTAATTGACCTTGCGTATGTCTTTCCGATAAGATTTCCTTCACGATCCTATACCAGAGCTTTCACAATCCAATCGCGATAGGTATTCTTTCACGATCTTTTTTTCTCAATATACCGAATGACACCCGTGAGAGTATACTATATAAGTTGTACAAAACTGCATCAACTAACCTTAAAGACAGTTGTTTCCGATGAAAAAATGGAAACGTTTTCTTGCGTGTGACGTAGTATACTGGCCGTGTAGGAACAACAGATATCTCAAAATTACGGTTTGGAATATACTACAGTTGGCAAATTTCTGTTACTATTTCAAGGCTTTAAGCATTAATGTGTAAAATATTTTGTTTTATTTATGTGCATTATTTACCAGCTGACCTATTTGATTTGCCAAAATTTTGTTGTATTTATGCGTAAATGTTTAAGAGATGAGTGTCACTCATTTATTATTGCAATCATGTGGGTGTAAACAAAAATCGTAATAATATGTGTACATCGTATTCGTTGACGTGTATTAGTGTGTTCGCACACAGGATGGTGATATGCGTCTAGTGTGGTGAGGTCGTAGACTTAACACCCACCATCAGCTAGTCCACTTTGTGGATG